TTCAAAGAGGACATGAGGTAAATGCACCGTAGCTGTGTGCGGCTGGGCAGCCCTGGTTCAAAGAGGACATGAGGTAAATGCACCGTAGCTGTGTGTGGCTGGGCTGAGACGGTGCCGGAGGGTCCAGGGCCTGGCTCTCTTCCCAGGGACCAACCCACAGGCTCTCCAGCTCCCACCTCCACTTCCACATTACAGCTCACCGGGGCCAGTGGGCTCGAGAGTCCACCAGGGAGCCGGACAGAGCCACCCCCACAGGCCACAGCCTCAGGGTCTGCAAGTCCCCTGGTCCCTGCTGGTAGCTGGCTCACCCCCTCGACCAGAGGTCCTGCACCCCAGCTTTTGCTGCCCTACGGCTGGGCCTTAGCTCCCCATCCTGTGACAAGGGGGGCCCTGGGCTGGACGGGGGGCTGCAGGCCTGTGTCACTGCTGGGCTGACCCCTGCCCTGAGAGCTCCCAGCTGCCATGACAGGTGCTGAGACTTGTACAGGTAAAGATGGGGACTCAGGACCCACGGCTTGGGTGGTGGGACTGGGAGTGATGTCTGTCTGTCTCTCTGCTTGAAAAGGTATTTAAGGAGGCTGGTACTTTCAGAGGTGCCAAGGGGCCCACCTAGCAGGGGCCCTGGTGAGCACGGGTGTGCGGCGACCCATGACCCCGTGGCCTCTGAGACCAGAGAAAACCCAGGAAAAGTGATGAAGAAGGTTATCGGTGGCACAGTGCCAAAATGGAACAAACTCTGCATACCTTCTGGAAAGAGGCAGTGACCTCACTGCCACTTCTCACAGCCTCCCAGAAGGGCTGGTCTCGGGCCACTGGCCCACACTCAGGCCCAGAACTCCACAAAGCTTCCCGTCAACTCCACATGCCAGCATGGTGCCTGAGCCTGGCCTCAGAGGGGCAGGCAAGGGGCTACGAGGAAGGGGCGGGGTGCCAAGTGGGGAGGGGAGCTAGCACACAGGCGCAGGGGCTGAGGAGGGGGCACCAATGGCCCGACCCCACCTGGCCAGGACTAAAACGGGCAGGGAGCACAAGGTGCGAGTGGGGCCACCTGATCTCGGCGGACACCCCCCAGGAGAGGTCCCTTAGGCATGGTTCCAGGATGAAGGGGAAGACACTGGTACCCAGAACCAGCCGGCCTCGGCTCAGAGCTCACCTTTCGTGATGGTGGTGACAGCCGAAAAGGCAGGCCCAAAGGTCGTTTCCATCCTGGTCTGCAAAGAGGGTACAGAGAATGTGGCCTTGACCCCAGAGAGTGCGACATGCACACACAGCCACACGACACGTGCTTACTGATCACACATGTGCATGGACACCTCCACAACACAGACATGGACCCACACATGTACCACATGTGCATGTACACAGATACCCCTACAGCACAGACACGCACAGGCCATGCACCACGTTTGCGTGTGCATGGACACCCCCACAACACAGATGCGCACACGTACACCTACAGCACCCACACGCACAGACCCTGCCCGCCTGCCTGGCCGGGGGACAGCCCTCCAGGAAGTTTGCACGGTGGAAACCCAGCAAAGCCTGCTGAGGTCCTTGGCGGGGTGTGGGTGCACAGAGCAGACCCCTGCCCGGGGGACGCCTTACCCCGGTGGCAACGTCTGGGGTGGGAAGGTTGGCAGGCCCCCCGGAGAAGCGGTTGTAGCGGGCAGTCTTGCCCAAGCTCATGCCTGGGCGGCATCTAGGGTCTGCGGGCCGCGTCCTCTGAGGGGGGAGAGACGAGGGGGTCAGGCTAGGGGCCCCATGGCAGGCACAATTGGCTTCTGTCCGCCATCGACACCAGTGGCCACAGCGGGCAAAGTCCCCTGTGTCCTGCCTGCCCAGGTGTTCACAGCTGAGGAAGGGAGGAACCCCATGCTGCCCATGGCGTCACTTCCGTCCTTCGTCCTTCAAGGCTGGGCCGGCCTTCAAGGCTGGGCTGAATGAACAGCCTGGCCCGCCCCGCCCCAAAGGTAAGGGAGCCACACCTGCATGCATACGTGCTCCTCCGCCGCCCTGAGTCACAGCCCGGGCTGCCCTTCCTGAGGGTCAGATGTCCCTGGGGCTGGGGCCAGGCCTCAGTGGGCGAGTGCTGGACCCATGGGGGGGGGTAGTCACGGCAGGACGAGTGTGTCCTGCCAGCACAGGTGGTGTCACCCCCGGCCAGCCACAGGCTCAGGTGTGGTCATGGGAGATCCTGCAGGTGCAGCAAGTGGAACCCACCCGTCCCAAGACGCAACTCCTGAGAAGAGAGGCTACAGGCGTGCCGGCCGGGCCCGCTGAGTCCGCAGGAGAGAGAGGTCTGGCGTGCAGGGCACCTGTGGTGCCCCCAAAGCGCTCCAGCTACTGCCTGGAGCCAGGTCCCTCTTGTCAGTGCACAGTCTCCCACTGTGATGGAGTTGGCTGGGTTAGGGTCCCGAGCCTCCTGAGAGCCACTCGTCCTTCACCTTGAGACCCCCTTGCCACACCCCTACACCGCCACACATGGGCTAGTCGCCCTGGGATCGGGGCCGCCCGGCACTGATGTGAGCTTGTCCTGGCACTCTGAGTGGGTGGAAGGCACAGGGCCTTACTGCCCGTGGCCCGGCCACCAGGCTGGGGGCAGGAAGCTGGGACCAGCCCTACGCAGGGTGATGAGGCAGGATGCCAAGGCCGAAGGGGAGCACACAAGCCCCCCGCCCCACACCCCACACCAGGGGGCCGGGAGAAACCCACCCTCTGTCCCGCCGGCACCTGAGAGGATGCCAGCCTGAGAGCCATGCACAGCCTGGCATTTCTGGCGCCTTCCCCAGACCGTCCTACCCCGCCCCTCTGGCGATGCCGGCCCCACACACATCTTCAGGGGGCCGTTACCTGCAGCTACCAACACACACCGTCTCTTCACTGACAGGCGTCATCTCAAGCTCTCGGGGGTCCCTGGTGCCTCCTCCCTGCACTGTCTGCCATCCTCACCTTCTGCCAGGGGTCTGCTCAGCCCGCTCAGCCCTCAACCAGCGCGTCCCAGGCACTCGCCCCATCAGGGGCTGGGTCTTAGCCCCGAGGCTGGCACTGCCGTGAGGCACCCAGCCCTCATGCTGAGCCCCCGCACGTCTGGACAGACGCGGTCTTGCGAGGGCTTTAGCCCAAAGCCTCCTTCCTTCTATCCCCCCACCGCACTCCCCATGCACAGCCCAGTCCACAACCCCACCCCACCCCCGCAACCACTGTGGCCTGGAGAGGGGACGGGGTGCAGACAGGCCAGCTACGGAGCCTTGAGGGCCGGTTCTCAGGTCTGGGGGCAGAGGCCGGCAAGAAGACGTGCAAGGAGCTTACAGGACGGCTCTCGGGCTGAGGGGTGAGAGTGACGGGGCTCCCACACAGCCCTCCACTGTCGCCACTCTCAGCGGGAGCCTCGGGGCCCAGGCCAGCGGGGTGAGGCCGTCCTGCCGGGGTGACCGGGGGTCCAGAACCCGGGTTTCGGAGGACCTGCCCAGTCAGCAGTCGGCCTGCAGGGCCCAGCCTTTCCAGGAAGCCCGCAGCTGGCTCCCGCCCGGCTCACAGGGGGCCCGCTGGGAGGAGAGGTGGGGCACGCAGCCAGGCCGCCCTAGCCACTGACCTGGATTCCACACACGCACACTGCCAGGGACGAGGCACGGCTGGGGTGGCGACAGGCCGGCCCGAGGGCCCTCAGTGGTCCGGCCCCCACCGCTGGGCGCGGCAGACAGAACGGCACACAGCCCTACACAAAAGCGCCCAGCAGGTCCCCTGGCCGATGACGGCGGGCCTGGCTGACACATGCGACCTGAACCCCGGGGGCTCCCGGCGTTCAGCCCAACCCCTTTGGCCCCCACCCCCAAGCTCCGCAGCTCACAGACTGCGTCCCAGGAATCCACATCTGGATTCAGCAAGATGCCTGGAGTCCCGCCCGGTCCCATGGGGCTGGTCTTGCAAGAGCAGCCTCCCCCGGCCCTGCTGCCGCCAGGGAGCCCGGCAGGGCTCAGCGGAAACACCACGCCGCTGACACCCCTGGCTGGTGAAACGGCTGGTTCGGGGTGCACCCCCAGTCGGCCTGGGGCTCCCTCGGGGGCCTGGTGTGTCCACTTTGACAGGGTCCTGCTCATCTCCAAACCCAGCCGGCTAGCAACGGAGCTGAGGAACCCTCCCTCCAAGCCCCAGGAGGCCGCCTGTCTTTGGAAGAGGAAAGACCCTGGCTGTGGGAGGGAGGAGTGACACTGTAACTTCTGTTGGGCCTGTCCGGCGGCGTGACTGAGGGTCCCAGGTGGGCCGGGGCAGGTGGGCCAGGCCAGCGGAAGCAAACAGGCTGCTGGCTCCTGCTGCTGACCCCCCCACACGCCAGGCCACTGCTGTCCCCACCTGGGAGAGGCCGTGCCAGGCCAGGGGAGGACTAGCCACCTTCTCGCACTTGAGGGGTTCCTGGGCCTTGGGGCGCTCACTGCTGCCACACAGGTCAGGGGTCCTCTTTCTGCATGCAATAGCGCCCACCACGCTCTCCTCTGAGCAGCCCCACCACCTGCAGGGAGGGTGAGGCTGGCTTCCCAGGACCCCTCCCAGCCCCACCTGGGGGATGTGGGGTGACTACCTGCCCCTCCCACCTTGGGATGCACCCCAGGGGCTCTGGATCAGGCGTGGTGAGGTCCCCCCTCCTGGACTCTGGGGACAGCCACCCAGCAGTCCCGCCAGCGACTCTGGCAGCGTCATGTGTGTGGGGGGGTGGACGGTCCTGGGGGGATACCCTGGGCAGAACGTGCAGGGTGGGGCAGCCCGCCCGGGAGCCTCATCAGCGCCTCTCTGTTCTGGTATCACTACCCCAGGGAAGGGCTGGAGAACGCAGGAAGCCCAGCCTCATGGTTGGCCACTGGCTGGATGCCGGCCAGGGCTCCAGGCGTGGTCCCCAGTATCACAGAGCCATCCAGCCCTGGGTCTGCCTCTGCCTCGGCCCTAGGGCTACAGTCCAGGCCAGGCGCCAAATCCTATAGAAACAGGCATGGTTGCCATGGCAAAGCCACGCGCTCCCCCCATACAACACCCTGTGGTTCCCTGACGTCCTTTTAGCACATTTTTTCCATGCTGACATGCACGGTGTGACGTCGGGGCCCTTGGCTCTGCCTGCACGGTGCCCCTCCCCTCCCATAGCCCCGGCCAGGCCTCTGCACTCTGTGCCCGCGTCCCCCTCCCTCTACACCACTGCTCAGGCGGCGGATCCAGTGTGGCCGCCTAACCAGCCTCCTCCCCAGGCTCTGCCCGCCCTCTCCGGCCCGGGGCTCCAAGGCTCTACCTACTGAAGGGACCTCCCTGCTCACTCTGCCAGCCCCAGCTTTGACCCCACCACCTCAGGACAGGGATGTCTGCCTCTTCCCCACCTGCCCCTCAAGAGGCTTAGGAGGCATCTCCTAGTCCTGTCTTTCCCAGGGGACCTGGCTCGTCTGGGGGGAAATCCAGAGGGCTTTCTGGAGGAAGGGGCTGGCCAGACCCCAAGCAGACACTTGTCCTCTGATGTCAGCATCCAGCTGCAGGGCCCAGGGGGGATCCAAGCACAGAGCAGGACACAGCCTGTGACGTGTCTCCGGGCTGGCCACACGCTAGCACCCCAGCACAGGCTCCTGTGGGCCCCCCGAGGTGTCCACAGCAAAGAGCACAGATGCTGGGCCCAGACAGATCTGGGTCTAAACTCCCCCTCCATTGAGCAGCTGTGTGGCTTTGGGCAATCTGACTGCCCGCCTAGCCTTGCACCTCCCACCTAGGAAATGGATGGGGCCGTGAGAGACTATGGGGAAGTAAGAGTAAAGGCTTCACTACCAGCAGATGTGATCTGAGAGCTGAAGGTGGAGGCTCAGAGAGGCTGAGCGGCCAGCCCAACGACACACAGCCAGAGAGAGGGTGCACCAAGGCCCTCCTCCTTCCGACCCTTCTAGCACTGCTGACAAACTGACAAGCTTCGACACACATGAGCCAGTCCAGACCGGGGAGTCCCAAGTCACCAGATCCTGCCTATCGCCCAGCGCCTGACAACTAGGTTTAACCTTTCTACTTCCACCACCTCTTCCCCTAAACGGATTTCTTCCTTGTCAATAGTTCACCCTTCCTCCAGCTGCTTGCCAAGGTCCACACCCACCACAGGTGCCAGGCCTGTGCATGACAGGGGGACGTGGGTGGTTAGGAGTGCGTCTGACCCTAGAGAAGGCAGGACGCCAGGGAGCAGCGTTCCACACACCAAAGGTGCTTTCCCGTGGGTTCCAGACTCCACTCAAATCAATACTGAAGACCCAGCTCGTTCCTGTTAGTTTCCAGAAATCTTGATGCACGGCCCTGCCGAGAGCCGGGGAGCTTACTCCCAGCACTCAGCTCCCCAGCCAGGCTGCCCACACTCCTGCTCCCATCAAAGGGAAGGTGTGGTCTGGAGGAGAGCAGTGGCTGTGGCTACCGGGTGCAGAGACCCCAGGCCCGAGGTTTCCTCGGAGCAGAGCAGCGAAGCAGGGATTTCTGGCAGAGCCGGCACGCACCATACAGACCCTCAGGGAAGGGGTCTAGGAGCGGAGAGGCTCAAAGAGAAGGAAGGAGAAACTGGCCATATGCTTGGCACTTGGCAAAGGCGGTGGGCAGCTCCCAGGAGAGGGGCTGGATCTAGGGGATGGAAGCAGAGCTGGAAGTAGGGTGGGTGCCTGAGGGTGGGTGGGGTCCAGGACCCCCCCAGGGCCCAGCTCGGCCTCCCCACTCACGGGACCCCAGACTCAGCCCCGGCTGACCGCCCTGGCCTGACTCAAAATCACCACCCCTGGGGAGCTGGATCCCAGTGAGGACTAGTGGACACTGGCCCCAACACTCCCCTGGAGACCCGTTCAGCCTCCTTACTGCCCCAATACCCCACCAGGCCCCACAGTCCACCCATCCCCTGCGCACAACCAGGAGCCTGTTTACTAGGTGAAGACCGGACACCGTCACCCTATAACCCTATAACAAGGGAATTCCTGAGTGGTGTAAATGATGAAAGCACTCAGCTGCTGTCGGCGTCCGCCCAGAGATGTCTCGAAAGGTCTGGCAATCTAGCTCAGAAAAACCACCAGTGGAGACCCAGCGGAGTCCAGGACTACTCTGACACACGTGGCGTTGCCGTCAGTCGGAATGAGAGTGATGCCAACTGCATTGGCACGCACAAAGAGACCCCTACCCTGCAGCCCGTGGGCCAGCCCACCACCCTGACTCCTATCACCACTTTGCAGCGCTCTGCGGGAGTACGCCTGGCCCAGCCTGTCTCACTCACCGACTCTGCAGATCTGGACCCCCCAAATTCTCCCCCAGCACCTTCCCAGGACTTGCTCCTCCCAGTTCCGTCTTTGGCTAACTGTTCTCTGCCCAAAAGGTCTCTTGGGAGCCCTAACTTTTTCTCAGCACCCTGTTTCTTTCTTTCATAGCACCCACAGCAATTCCTCATCATTCCATCGGTTTATTGTCCGCATGCGCTCTTCCGCGAACAGTGATTCTTAAATGGGTGAAATGTCCCCCCACACACCGGAGGACACCTGGCGATGCCTGGGGACGTTTCGATTGTCACAACTGGGGGCGGAGATGCTACTTACAGGCATCTAGTGGGTGGAAGCCAGGGGCGCTGCTCAACATTCTACAAGGCACAGGGCAGTCCCCCACCACAAGGAACAATCCAGCCCAAATTGCAAACAGTGCCGAGGGGGGGGAACGCTGCACCCCAACACGAGTCGGATCCTGCTGCCCCGCAGCCACCCCGGCCCCTAGAACAGTGCTTGGCACTCAGGTGGCACATAATAAGTGCAGGAACAAGGAATAAATAAGGAAGGACGAGTGAGGGACGGGCAGATGGACAGACCCAGAGATCCCAGCCCGACTCAGCCCCGCCCCTCCCAAGGCTAAACCCCCCCCGCTCGGGACCCGAAGCGCCTGTCCCCCGGCCCCATCACGCTGCCCCGAGGCGCGAGCCACGGGCCCGGCGCGCCACACGGACACTCACCCGCCCGCGGCCGCGGTGCAGAGACAGTGCCGCCCGTCCGTTCCATCGTGCCCCCTCGGCCGCCTGCCGGGGAAGGGACCAGACGCGCGAGCCGGAAGCGCTCAGGGCTGCGCCCGCCGGGAATTGTAGTTCCCGGGCTCTGGGGGCCCGAGAGGCCACCTGACATGCGGCGCTTCGGAAACTACGACTTCCGGCGGCCCTGCCGCCGCGGAGCGGGATTGGCGGCTTCGGAATCACTCTGTTGCAGGCCGGACTTTGATTGGCTGTTTCAGTCCGTCACTCACAGCTGGGCTCAATAGCCTTGGTGAAAGGGAGGAGCTTCGGGTCTCCAGCTTGAGAGTTGCTGTTAGGGGACGCAGGGTGGGCTCCGACTCACGGCGACCCTGTGCACAACAGAACGGAAACACTGCCCGGTCTTGCGCCATCCTCACAATCATTGCTTTGCTTGAGCCCGTCGTCGCAGCCACTGTGTCAGTCGATCTCGCTGAGGGTCGTCCTCTTTTTCGCTGACCCTCTGCCAAGGACGATATCGTCCTCCCAAGGACCAGTCTCTTCTGACTGGTGAAACCAAGTCTGACCTTTCTTGCTTCTAAGGAGCATTGTGGCTGTACTTCCTCTAAGACAGATTTGTTTGTTCTTCTGGCAGTCCATGATACTTCAGTATTCTTTGGCAACACCACAACTCAAATGCATCAATTCTTCTGTGGTCTTCCTTATTCATTCACATGTATGGCTTGGGTCAGGTGCACCTTAGTCCTCAAAGTGACACCTTTGCTCTTTAACACTTCAAACAGGTCTTTTGCAGCAGATTTACACAATGCAATTCGTCGTCTGATTTCTCGACTGCTGCCTCCATGGGCGTTCATTGTGGATCCAAGAAAAATCCCTGACAACTTCTATCTTGAAGTTCAATGAAGGCCTGGGAGACCACCCCTAAAATAAACGCCGTTGAGCGATCGGTGGAAACAACGAGGTAGGAACTTAGCCTATCAGGTACTAGGGGGGCGGGTACTTCCGTCGGAGTTGCCCAATCACAGAGGTGGAGCAGTTCCTATAAAGGTTTGAGCTTCCAGCATCGTGTTCTTTCGCGGTTGAGTAAAAGGTTGGGGTGCTGCTTCTTTGGCTTAAGCTCTAGTGTGGGCTTGAGGGTGTTCCCCGAGCCCAGCAGGCCGGCTTCCCCTGAGTTCTTTGTGAGCCCTTACGTTCCTACCCATGTTTCCGTTAGCGAAGGCCGTGTCCACACCTACGTCCAGGTAAGCCTAGGCCGGGTCTTTTACTCCGACGCAGCCCGGAGCCCATGATGAATTGCTTTAATTTCTGACACCTCGTATGAAAACTGCACGTGCAGTCTGATTATTTTGCAAGACTGAGGCTTCGGGATTGCGCGTTTGATGAGGAGGAGGGCTGGGAGCGTTGATGGCTTGCCCCGAACGGCGGAGGGGGCTCCGGTGTACATGATCCTGGCTGCCTTTCAGGGTCATCGGGAACCGGCTGCAGACCCTGAGCCCCCGTTAACGTCTTCAGCCCGGAGGTCCAGCGGGCAGGAGGGCCTGGTGGTAAGGAGGGCCTGTGTGTGTGTGAGATACTCGGCAGTAAAGCATTGACGGTGCATCGGTGTGTCGTTTGTCATTACTTAACGCCATTTGTCGCCCAGAGCCCTGCTCATTGCGTTTGGGGGTTGGGAAGGGGTGCTGTGACGACTTGAGGGTGGTGTCTCTTTTATCTGTTGGGGCTGCCTACTCCGTTTTCTGTCTGTGAACCCAAGAAACATTTAGTGCTTTCTCGCGGGGCGAGTCTGAGCGCCCCCTGAGCACCCCAGCAGCCGGTTCCCGGTATACCACGTGCTCCCGAAGGAACGTTGGAGTTTGGAGCAGAAACACCGGGTGACCTCAGTGGCAGTGTCTTGCATGCCACTTTGGGAGGGTGCCCGCACCTTCTGCAGAGTTTGGAAGCTGGGGTTCTAGAAGTCGGGTTTTTTTTTTTTTTTTCCCAACAGAACAGGCGGAGGCATCCGCAAAAACACCTTTATTCACTGAGGCTGAAAACAGCTGTGCAATCGAAAGACTGATGGCTCAATGACTTTTAGTACAAGCTGGAAAACGACTCCTGTCCCACTCTGCCTCACTGTCACCCACCGCACCTGGCCTCTGGTCAGCAGGTGGGATGGACGCTGCTGTCCCGAGTCTCTGAACTCTCACCCTGTGTTACAAAGCCTTGGGGTTTCCAAGGTGACAGGGGGCAGACCCTGTGTAGGACCAGCGCGTGGAGTGGGAGCAGCGAGCAGCCCCAGACACGATGCACAAAGGATTTAAGGCTGTTGCCCTCTCCGGGTGTGCGGGCTGCAGACATGGCTTTTCTAGGCAATTAGGCACTGTGCACCTTGCCCGGTGACCAGCAGGGGGCAGCAGAGCGCCGGGCAGTGGGGCCTACACGCTCACCCTGGAACCAGGCCAGCCCGGGAGCAAGGCCCACAGCCCAGCGACAGGGTGGACGAGGAGGCCGTGGCCCCGCCAGCTCCCTGAAGCAGGTTTACTCGCACCGGGGCTCCAGGTTGCCTCTCAGGCAGGAAGAGGCCAGGCCAAGCCCCCATTCTGGGCATAATAACCACCAGGGCCAGCGCCTGGCCAGGTCAGGGCCAGCAGCAGGCACCCCCACGGCCTTCTTTTTTGATGTAGTCATGAAGTCGGAAGCGGGGCTCGCTGGGACCCCTCATGGAGCGTTGCTTCAACTCCCTGCGGGAGGGTGACCATGAGCAGGCTGGCCTGGAGACCCTAAGCAGAGTGTCCAAGGGGCTGGCCTGGTATGGGGACTTACTTTGCTATGGCTGTGAAGGCCAAGTCCACGTTGAGGCCTGTCTTGGCGCTGGTCTCCATGAAGGGCAGCCCATACTCCTGCAAACAGGCTGGCTACCAGCTGGACCTTGGCCCAGAGGGGACAGCCTGAACCCTGTCCCCGCAGCCACAGGCCCACTCTTCCACCACCCCTGCCCCTGCTCACCTCGGCCAGCTTCTCCCCGTCTTCCTTCTTCACCTCACGCTCCTGGGTAGAGTCCACCTGGCTCAGGTGCAGCGGCCTTGTGACAGCTGGCCCACAGCTGCCCACCACCCAGTGTGGAGGACAGCTACCCACCGCCCGCCGCCCAGCGCGGAGCACGACTGCCCACCTTGCTCCCCAGCAGCATGAGCACCACGTCGCGCTGGGCGTGCTCTTGGATCTCACTAAGCCAGGCCTGCAGGACCAGGGACCTTGGAGCCCTGGGCTCCAACAGCCCCAAGGCCACACCCCATAGGGCCCTTGCTAACAGCTCAGCCACCAGGGCAAGGCACTAGGTTTACAAGTGACTTGTAATGGGTGGGAGTTCTGGTGGCACAGTGGTTAAGGCTGCTAACCGAAAGGTCGGCAGTTCTAACCCACCACCGGCTCCATGGGAGAAAGATGAGGCAAGTCTGCCTGCCTGGGTAAAGATCACCAGCCTTGGAGGCCCTCTGGGGCAGTTCCACTCCGTCCTCTAGGGGCGTTATGGGTTGGAATCGACCATAAAGATTTACCACCTCGGAATCCATTGGGGGTTGCTATGAGAATCAACTTGATGGCAGTGGGTTTGATTTGGTTTTTGGTCCCTTCAGGTTTTCAGTCCTCCATCTAAGCCCCTCCCTTGTGTGGTCCTGGGGGTGGAGTCTCCAGGACCTGTCATGCCCCACCCCCACCCCACTCTCCCTGGGAAGGGAGCACAGACCTGGATGCTGTCAAAGGAGGCCTTGTTGGTGACGTCATAGAGCAGAAGCAGGGCTGGGGGCAGAAGGGTGTGTGTCACCCACATACTCACACCCCCAGTCACAGGGTGGCGGTGACATCATGCCAGCACACCAGCTACACCTGCCTGCTTGTCACCCCGACACCAGCTCCAAACAGGAGTCAGGGAGCCGGGGCACCTACAGAACACAGCCCCCCTCCCTGGGGCCTGGGACCCCCAGGGCCCTGTGCCCACCGTGAGCGTCGCGATAGTAGGCATGGGTGACACTGCGGAACCGCTCCTGGCCGGCCGTGTCCCAGATCTGTGACGACAGACAGCCTGGCATCAAGCCGCCCCCCCTCCCCTGGAGCACCCCCACCTCACCCAGAGCGCGCCCCTCACCTCTCACCTGGAGCTTCACCTTCATGCCATCCACGTCCAGGACTTTGTTCTGAAACAGAACAGGCAGCTCCTGCTGGGGCCCAGCCACTGCCCCTGTCCCAGGCAGCGGCCAGCCAGCACCATCCTCCGGCCGGAAGCTCCCAAGAGTGGGATGGGAGGGTGGGTCCAAGCCAGGACAGAGCCCAGCCCCGCTGCCCAGATGGGGAGACTGAGTTACTGCCAAGGGCCCCCCCATCCCCAGGACTTGCCGTGCCCCTGACCGAGTGCAGGACCCTGGGTGGGCCCTAAGTCTTCCCTCCACCTGCCGCCCCCTGTGGTTGACTCTGCACCCACACCTGCCTGTAGGTCCCACTGTCGCTTCCACCGGAGAGCTCCTCAGTCCCCCAGCTCCCCTCACCATGCTCCCGCCCTGAGTGAGCTGGCCCAGGCCCCTCTCCTGCCCGGACGGCCCTGCCCTCCAAGGCCCTGCCCACCCCAGGCCCCCCTAGTCTGTCACCCAGTCCCTCTGCTCCTTAACCGCCTCTGACCGCCGATCCCACACTCCTCAAGCCCCAGCCCCTTCTCTCCTGGGCCCACTTGCCCATCCAGCCCATCCAGCCTCAGCCCGCAGGGTCTGTCCCTGCCCAGCTGAGCACGGCCCCCTTTTCCCAGCCACAGGGCCCTGCCACTGCAGCCTGCCCCCACCTGGCCCCTCCTCCCACAGCTGTTGCTGCTCCAATCACACGTGTCACAGCGTCTTTGAAGTCACCCACGCTGTGCCCCCAGTCACGTGACTAAACGCCGAGCCTCAGTTCCTCGTGTGCAAACGGGGATCACCAGAGTGGCGGGGATCACCAGAGTGGCCGTTGCGGGCCTGCCCCAGAGACTTATGAACAGAGCACAGAGTGAGGGTCCCTCTCTGCTAAATCCATTAGCCACGGAGGTGGGGGAGGGGCTGCTTAAAGGACACTGAGTTTCTGTTAGGGTCTGGTAGTGACACAATGCTTTGAAACGGCAAAGGTTCTGTTATTTAACAACTAGAAAAAGCCTTGGCCTCTGGAGCTCCAATGGTGTAGTGCCTAAACCATTTGACTGCTAACCAGATGGTTGGCAGTTCAAACCCAGCACCCACTCAGTGGAATGAATACTGGGCAAAGTGCTTCCATAAAGAATTGCGGCCTTGGAATCCAAAGGGGGTCATGACGAGTCAGAATCGACTTAACGGCAGTGAGGTTTTTTTTTATTTCTCCCTTGGGGCCTTCTGGGGGCAGGGCCTTGAGTCTGCCCAGTGCACTGCAGTGACCGGGAGGCCAGCACCAGGCCCAGTCCACAGACGGCCCCATGTCTCCTTTGCTGGCCGATGGGATCCCCAGCCTGGCCCTCTGGGTCAGGAGCAGGCACAGGCCCCAGTTTCCACCTGCTGGCGTGGGGCAGGGCAGGAGAGGCCGGCAGCGCAGGCCCAGGCTCCCCGCCGCCGCCAGGACGCGCCCATCTCCCGCCCCCAGCTCCTGCTGGCAGGGTGCTCCCAGGCCTTCAGTCATCTGCCTGACACCCCGCCTTCCTTAGCACCCCGAGCGGAAGTGTGAACCCGACAGCTTCGCCTCGTCACCTGACCCAGAGCCAAGAGAGGGCTGGAGAAGGGGCCAGAACAAGAAGCTTCAACAGTCCCCCCAACTCTCCTGGCCCCACCCCCCACACCTCAGCGCTGACAGCCTCCTGGAGGACTCGAGGGGGCCCGACCCCCAGGCTGGAGTTGGCCCCCTTTCCTGTCCCCAGACGGGCTTCCCACTCCAGCCTCCTGCTAATTGAATCTAATTTAAGGGCGAGAAAAAGCAGCCCCATGAGATGGATTTGAGAACATACCAGCACCTCCATGGGGCGGCGACAAGTGGGGTTCAGACGGGTCGGCAGGGCGCAGGCTCTGCCCCACAGGCCCGAGGCCCTGGCCCTGTCCTTCCCTGCTGACCCCACAGGCTCCTGGCAGTGGCTTGTGAGCCAAGGGTCCAGGGGCACCCCCAGAAGAGCCCAGGGGACAGCCTGCAGGCTGGCGGAGATGCCAGCGGCTCTGAAAGGGGAGGGAGTCGGTGGGACCCCCCCAGACCCACCCTCTCCAGGGAATGCCCCTGTCTGGCTCTGAGGGGAGGTGCTGGTGGCCACTCCCTACAGCCCCAGGCTCCCTCCGCTGCCACCCCTGGGGGCCTCAGCTCCCAGACCCCTGAGGGTCATGCCAGCCCCGACCCTGGTGCATCTCAGCTTCAGTCACTCGTGATATCGGGAGGGGTGACCTGATCTGGAAGCCTGGCACTGGGGGGAAACGGGGAAGTGGGGTGTGGGAGGGCTGGGTGAGCAGACTCCGGGTCAGGTGGGTGCCTGGCTCACCCGAAAGTCGATGCCCACGGTGGAGATGAAGGTCCCCGCCAGGAAAGCCCCATCCTTGAAGCGTACCAGCAGGCAGGTCTTCCCCACGCCCGAGTCGCCCACCAGCATCACCTAGGGTGGCAAGAGGGGCCAGGTAGCACCCAGGAAGGGTGTCTGGTCTGCCCTGAGCTGGCTTGGCTGTGGGGGCTGTAGGCAAGGGGCTGGAGTGGAGAAGGAGGCCCAGACCCGCAGTTTCCACCGACCTGTGGCCTCCACCAGCGTAGACCCCCGGCTTCCACCTCTGGAAGGCTTGGTGGGGGCAGTGGGTGGACCCCCAGTCTTAATCTGGGAGGGGCCTGGCAGCCCAGGAGCTTGAGAGGGGAGCTTTTGGGGCTCAAGGGGGTGACAGCTGGGGACCTCCTCAGAGGTTTGTGGGGGGGGTCTTCAAATCCCAGCGGGGCACTTAAGGACTTTGCTCATTGACCTCAGGTCCTGACCAGGTCTGTGGGCAAGAAAACCCCAAGTCACCAGGTCAAGAGACCAGGAAGGGCCAGCCAGACCCTCTCCTTCCCCCACCCCCAGTCTGAAGTCAAAGATGGTCCTGCCCCCATCCCCCCACAATTCACACAGCTCCTGTCCTTGGCCTGGGGAGGGCCCAGTGCTCTACCCCACCAGCTGGCAAAGCTCTTACTAGCCACCACCCCCCCAAAAAAGGAGACCCACAGCCTCTGCGGAGTGCGGAAAGGCGACATATGGGGCCCTAGTGCGGGCGGGGATCAGCGCGCGAGGGACCAGCGCCTGCCAGGCCATGCCCCCGCGGGACCCCAGGTCCGGCCCTGCCAGCTGGGGGTGCAGCAGGCCCTGCCAGCTGTTGGACACCCGGCCCCGGGCCGACAGCTGCGTGCGTGGGATGTTCCGGGCAGCCGCAGGGTGCCCCCCGGGCCTCCCCGCTCCGCGTGTGCACGCGGCCCTGCGCCCCTCCCCAGCCCCTGGCTCCGGCCGGGCGCCACCTGCTGCGCCCGCCAGGTGGTGGGGGATTCCGGGCTCACCTTGAAGGCGACGTCGTACAAGTCGCCACCGCCGCCCAAAGAGGGCCGGCCGGGCTGCAGGGGCCCGTTGAGCGGCGCCTCGGAGCCGGGGCGCACGGTCCCGGGGCGCACCGGCAGGGGCCCGTTGGCGGCAGGCGCGCTGGCCCCCTTGCTCCTGGGGATCTTCTTCCTGGACATGCTGG